TTGTTACCAAATTTTTAAGAAAAAAGTAGAAGACATAAAAAACGATGCGACAAAATTGTCGGGGGGGGGGGCGGCCTAAATGTCTGATGCACAAGACAACAAGCAAGGCAAGTTCTTTGTTTGACTTTCACAACACAGATGGAAATGCACGATTTCGTAGATGAACAGTTTTTCGAACCTTCTGTACTTTCGTTCCAGCAAGCTAGCTATTGTGGACGATTCTGGAGTACTGACCATGCATCTGACAACAGATGGTACGCCCAATGGAGGTGCTTTGCTAGAGGACCGCCAAAAATTGAACGACTTCGTCCGCAAAGATGTCTGGGATATTCGGTTTTCCGAAGTAAGTTTATTCTGTATAAAACTGTTGGTCTACTGGGTGTATGGATTGCAAAGTCGTTATCACCTACGCTCCTTCGCCTCGTCCAAGTCATACAGAATCTAAGTTCACAATGGGCCAGGCTTTTTAACGAATACCGTTCTTGTCTTGTGGTAGGATAAATTGGCTTCAACAAGGTCAGTGGCCAGGAGCCGTGGTCTGACGTGAAATATGCACAAGTGGAAATCCAGTTGTGATCCAAATCAATTGCAGACCTAAGTGTTTCACATCCGCTCGACAGCACTGAAACATCTCTTGAGCAGATTCAGACTGCCTTGCCATTCAGAGGAGTATGCTACATGTATTCTGCTTGGTTTCTTGGGAGGTGACCGGGCCGCCTGGTTAAATGAGTCCTGAAACCTTTAGAATACCGATGCATCCGGGTAAAATGACCTCAGTCAACACCTTCTCTCTCTGTCGACTGTGCCACCAGTACTTTAGTCTCCAGGTGTCCCCATTTCTTACGAGCTAGCTATTTAAAACGTATACGCTCATATCTGAGATTGTAACCCTCTAAGATCACTTCACTGGTCTGCGTGGCCGCTTATTCTAAGGCACCACTGGTCTAAAAACCTACCTATTCGTCCTTTTTTTCTCACCAAAATTTTTGTCATTTCATCCTAATGATATTGATAATGAGAATGTTTTTTAATTATCGTACAACCTGAAGATCTTCAAACTATCAGAAATAGGATAAAACTAGATGTGGAAGAGAAGTCAATGTGGTTTCCGCGATTATTCCGTAGTGGTCTCATATTCAAACGTTTTGAGTTCAGGCTCCCGCTGACCGTTTATATTTCTGACTTTCCATCTGTCTGGGTCCTGTTCTACAAAGCATTCAACTGAATTTAGAACGAAATCTTTTCGCTTCAGTACGTTCCAGACCTGATCATAGATGTTAACTAAAAGTCATCTTGGTAGGCAGTTGAGATTCTCTGTTAAACCTGAGGGCGAATTTGTTCCCTGGGAGTCAGTCTAAATGCAAATTGTGCAAGGTAGACACAAAACGATCAAAACTTTTTCGGTCCTTGATTACCTACCTCTTAGCTGATCACACAGCTTACTAAACGTACGCACGGACAGTTGCCGAAATCTGATGACAGTCAAGTCATCATTACCACCTATCGAGTCATTATGAGTTTTCAGCGGTGAAGTTAGTTCTCATCATTGAGCGGAATTAAGACTGCAATTCTGCTGTTCAAACAGCCATCGTGTGGCTGTGGTGATATTCACTCATGAGAATTAATCTCACGTGACCCAGTATGGACTGGCTCATCGATTGAGGACTGTTCAGAGGAGCGACCACGTCACGTTTCCCACTCTCAGAACATTACTGAAAATTAGTAACTAAATAATCTCACATGGTTGTGTTGTTTTCCAAAGGTGGTCGAATTTCGTCACATGGTGAATGAACAGAAAAGTTATTTGACTCTTTACTTTACGACCTTAGGACAACCCAGACATGTTTGCCATAATGGAAAAGACGCGAATGTTCATCTTCGACCGACTGCAAGCAAGCGATACAGTACAGACGTCCACTTTTATATGCAGCTTTCATAATTTGGAAGTCTTGGGTGTGCTCCTGGACGAACTGGTGGCACTTGAAGACCAACCATCAAAGGATTGTCTTTTGCGTGTACCAGTGAAGGTAAGGTCACTTTTGTTCTTGTCAGTTAGCTTGCGAACCTACATTTCCGACGAAAAAAAAACACTATGGAGTATATTCCATGATCAGGCAACAATCTGAGCATATATACCTTTCATTTTTGTTGTTTTGCTATGTATTGTATCTTAGGTGCCCCCCGCAATCTGATCCACGTTTCCATTCCAGTTTGTGTTTTGTGGGATCTCTTAAAGCGAAAGAGATTTAAAGAAATTGCTTCATGAATGGCTTTGGTCGGTGATGATTGGAC